AGTGAGACCCTCAGTCTGAACAGGTGACAGGGAGACCCTCACTCTGACACTATGACAGTGAGACCCTCAGTCTGAACCTGTGGCATTGAGACCATCATTCTCACCAGGTGACAGTGAGACCATCACTCTGACCCTGCAACAGGGAAACCCTCACTCTGACACAGTGACAGTGAGACCCTCACCCTGGCACTGCGACAGGCAAACCCTCACTCTGACACAGTGACAGTGAGACCCTCACTCTGACCCTGCGACAGTGAGATCCTCACTCTGACAAAGTGACAGTGAGACCCTCACACTGACCCTGTGACAGTGAGACCCTCACTCTGACCCTGCCTCAGGTAAACCCTCACTCTGACACTGTGATAGGGAAGCCCTCACTCTGACCCTGTGACAGTGAGACCCTCACTCTGACCCTGCGTCAGGTAAATCCTCACTCTGACCCTGTGACAGTGAGACCCTCACTCAGACACTGTCACAGAGAGACACTCATTCTGACACTGTGACAGTGAGACCCTCAGTCTGAACCGGTGACAGGGAGACCCTCACTCTGACACTGTGACAGTGAGACCCTCACTCTGATCCTGTGGCAGTGAGACCCTCACCCTGACCCTGCGACAGGGAAACCCTCACTCTGACCCTGTGACAGTGAGACCCTCACTCTGACACAGTGACAGCGAGACCCCTCACTCTGACCCTGCAACAGTGAGATCCTCACTCTGACAAAGTGACAGTGAGACCCTCACACTGACCCTGTGACAGTGAGACCCTCACTCTGACACTGTGACTTTCCGACTCTCACTCTGACCCTGTGACAGTGGGACACTCACTCTGACCCTGTGACAATGAGACCCTCACTCTGACCCTGTGGCGGTGAGACCCTCATTCTGACCCTGTGATACTGAGACCCTCACTCTGACGCTGTGACAGTGATACCCTCACTCTGACCCTGTGACAGTGAGACCCTCACTCTGAGCGTGCGACAGTGAGACAATCAATCAGACCCTGTACAAGAGAGACCCTCACTCTGACCCTGTGACAGTGGGACACTCACTCAGACACTGTCACAGAGAGACACTCATTCTGACACTGTGACAGTGAGACCCTCAGTCTGAACCAGTGACAGTGTGACTCTCACTCTGACACTGTGACATCGTGACCCACAATCAGACACTGTGAAAATGAGACCCTC